ATGTTTCTGCTATAGCACACAATGCTAACTTTGTTTGTAAAAGGGGTTTGTAGCACTCAGTCACACACAAACATTTCATTGACTCTGGCGAGATCGGTCCTCAACACTCTGATCCTGCTGAGTTGTGTTAACATCACGTCCCTCCCTGCGTGTCTGCAGACGGAGCGGCTGCAGGCTCTGCTGGCCGACAACGAGAAGGTGAATCTGTCAGAGATCGAGCCAATTCCTCTTCCTCTGGAGCCTCAGATCAAGATCAGAGGCATCGTCCCTGAGACAGCTACACTCTTCAAGGTACTGGAAACTTCGTCTTCATGAGTCACTTTCTCATCACTTCTTCGACCGAGCGATCCTTAAATACAGATTCAAGGCTCTGGTACTTTTCTTAACCTGTAGAGTTAATGGCTCTCAGATCTTATATCGTTTATATTCTATTACTGGCTGATAAAACATCTCTGAAAATGATCTGTCATTATTGGAACATTTGAAAAGACATTTACCGTGTTGACTGTCTATTTTCATCTTCAGTAAGCTTCAGCTTTGTCTCGACTAAAACCGTTATCTGTGTGTGTGTGTGTGTGTGTGTGTGTGTGTGTGTCAGAGTGCTCTGATGCCAGCCAAGCTGATCTTCAAGGCTGAGGATGGAGCCATGTACCCAGTCATCTTCAAACACGGCGACGACCTGAGACAGGACCAGCTCATCCTGCAGATCATCTCACTTATGGACAAAGTAAAAATACTTTTATCTTAGTTTACAGGGTTTTTTTCTACTATAAAAAAAAATCATCTGGCAAATTGGTGAATGTGTTGGATCATGCAGCTGCTTTGATCTTTGAACCGCAGGATTATTTCTCAGGCTTGACAAAACCGAATTTTAATCAGTATAACAGAAAACAGCTGTTACTCTTTTAAAAATGCTGTAAAAATATTCATTTTGAATAAAAACTTTTGTACATTTTGTCTTCAGCTTCTGAGGAAAGAGAATCTGGACCTGAAGTTGACACCTTACAAAGTTTTGGCCACCAGCACCAAGCACGGTAAGATCACTCATTACTCTCTGGTAGAAAACAGACTCCTCTTAAAAACAGAATAAATACGGTAAAACAGATTTTATTTGCTCCCATTGACATAAACTACTTTTGTGAAGGAAATCTGACAAAAACTGCGACAGGTATTTTAGATACCGACAGAATAATGAAGAAAAAGCAAAAGAATTTTGTTCTTGTTCCAGGTTTTATGCAGTTTGTTCAGTCTGTTCCAGTTGCTGAAGTCCTCGCTACTGAAGGCAACATCCAGGTGAGCGGTCTCCCTCTCCACCACACTGCAGGTAACTGACAGACAAAAACATTCTGTCCTTTTTGCTCACATAATTTGTTTGAACAGAGCTTCTTCAGGAAGCACGCACCGAGTGAGAAAGGACCGTACGGCATCAGCTCCGAGGTGATGGACACCTACGTCAAGAGCTGCGGTGAGACAGTGTTTTTGTCAGTTGTAAGAGATCTGAGCTCAGTCTGTTGGATTGCTCAACCTGCAGAGCACGTGAATTGATCCGATGTCTCTCGCTGTGTCCTTCCAGCTGGTTACTGTGTCATCACCTACATCCTGGGCGTAGGAGACAGACATCTTGACAATCTGCTGCTGACGAAGACTGGTGAGGCACAAACATGTTGATTCTCTCACGCCTTGTGTAATTAAGTTTACTGAACAGCTTTTAAGAATCTTCTCTCCTTCCTACAGGGAAGCTGTTCCACATCGACTTCGGCTACATCCTGGGCAGAGACCCCAAACCGCTGCCTCCACCCATGAAGCTGAGTAAAGAGATGGTGGAGGGGATGGGAGGCATGCAGAGCGAGCAGTACCAGGAGTTCAGGAAGCAGTGCTACACCGCCTTCCTGCACCTCAGGAGGTGGGAGCTCAGACACACATTACTCCTGTCATTTATTCTCTTGTTGAACTCTAGTCTCAAACTGTGAGTGTGCACTAAGACTTATTTTTACTTTACCACCACATATACATTAATTTCCTTTCTTTAAAGCAGCTACTGGTGTCAAATTATATCATTAGAGCATGAAACAAACTTGCTTGAGAGAAAGAATTAAAAAAAAAAAAAAAGATATTTAAAACATCCCTTCTCCATTTCTTCAGATACTCCAACCTGATCCTGAATCTGTTCTCTCTCATGGTGGACGCCAATATTCCTGACATCGCTCTGGAGCCCGACAAGACCGTTAAGAAAGTAAGTTTGTCGTTACCTTTAGCTGAATAGGAAAAGAGTGGTGGGGCACTCAGGCTCCGAATCTCACAGAGTTTAAAACAGGATATTTTTTTTTATTATTATTATTATTTTGTCAAAATTCACATTTATTTCCGTTACAGCATTTGTTAAAATCCAGACATTTAGACAGCAACTTCAAATAGTTATGGCCGCCATTAAATATTCACAGGTATAGACATTCAGGTCGTTCCCACTCATTTTCACTTAGAGCTGCCAAAGTGCAAATTCACCCAGTGCATTGATGAGTTTTGTCAGTCACTTATGTTGTTAAATATTTTTGCCTCCAGGTGCAGGATAAGTTTCGACTGGACTTGTCAGATGAGGAGGCGGTTCATTACATGCAGAGTCTGATCGATGAGAGCGTGGGCGCTTTGTTTGCTGCTGTGGTCGAGCAGATACACAAGTTTGCTCAGGTGAGGGAACACCAACACACGACACACTTCAAACACACAGATGATTCTAAGGTTGAGGGGGGGTTTGTCTGATCTCATCACAGCAGAAAAGTACAACACTGATGTTACTGAATAATTTACTTCATACTTAAATCTCTGCTGCTCATTTGCCAAAGTGTTCCACACGTTTTAATCGCTCAATGCTTCGTTTTCAGAACAAGAAACCTTTAAATTCACATCATTCTTTTCACATCTGTTTGCTCATAGTTTACAACATTTTCAAATCTTGACGAGTAAGCAACCAATAAGTGAGATTACCACACTATAATAACAGAACTCATTAAAATATAGCTAAGCTGATTTTCACTCTGCAACAAACTGAACTGTAACCAGTGTAAGAGAAGTATAAAAACACATCTACCAATGTAAAAACTTGGGGTGTTTTGGAAACTGTTCAGCAGTAGTGATTTGAAATAAACAGGCTAAAACATTCAACAGCAGCTCTTGCAAGTGAAGTCTCAACATCGTCCAGCGTCTTGTAATGTAATGTATTTTATACAGTTTAATATTTGTATAATTATAGACAATAATATTAATACATTGGTTTAAAGGTTTGAGCGTGGTATGGATAATTTCATCTACGTTTTAGCAAGAAAGCAAATCAGTGTTGAACTACCCCTTTAAAAGTGAGCAGCTGATGTAACTCTCTGTTCTCTCTTCAGTACTGGCGCAGATGAGCAGAGACTTCTGAGACGAGGATGAACTGGATCGAACTTTTGCAGAAGGAACACGTGATCGTACGGCTCTGACCCGACTGATGCTGCGTGTGTTTGTGTGTGTGTGTGTGTGTGGGGGGGGGGGGGTGGGTGTGTGTGTGTGTGAGAGAGAGAGAGAGGACGAAGCAAAGAAACCCAATGACACTGTTAAAAAGGCCAAGAATGCACTGCCAACCTTTACTGCAAGATGGCTAAACAAGGACAAGGATGTCTTTGTTTGCTTATGTATATATCATGTATATTAATTATTAAATGAATGAATGAAATGTTCGGCCAAATAAAAGACTGTTGATACAACTAAACAAACTGTTCGTCTGTGGTTTTTACTTCTTTCTGAAGCGGTGTGTATTTTTTCATCATGCAGCGTTTATGGCGCACAACATGTTTCTTAAATTGAGCACTGCTGACCATCTGTGGATGGTCACACTGTCGACGCTGGGGGTAGAAACGAAGCTGAACCCCCAGAGGGTTGGTGAGTCACCGAGCGAGTGACTAAGCATTTCCTGCCAGACACAGAAAGACGATAAAGACAAGTCTGCGCAAGTGATGTAAGAACAAGATACACATTTCTGTCAAGTTTCTCTGGTGTCATATACAGCTGCTGATTAGAGTAAGAAAAACTTTTCATTGATGCCAACACTGTAAACATACATCAGCTTTGACTACTGGTCGATTTCATGTCTTAAATGCAGCACAAAAGAATCCAATCACCTGGCAAATTAACAGATTCATTCAAATGTTTTGGTAGAAAATTACACCACTGCAGTTACTGTGGGAGGGAAACTCGACCGATATGGGAATGAATGAGAAATACATCGAAGAGCAGTGTTTGGGAAGCAGGACTGATGGGTCATGATGCAGGATATTAACGAAAGGAAATGTTCAGATTCATCCTACAAGGCATCAAAATGCTGAGAGGCTTGTAAAGGCTCAGAAACATAAAAACCTCAAACACTTCACCTCATTTCAAACCTGTTCTCACTTCTAGTTTCATGATATATAATGAATGAATTGCTTCAAACAAAAATGTTAAATCCTCTAAGGTTTAAATTCAGTTTTCAAATGCACACAACGACTTGTTCAGTAACATTTTTGACTGCCATAAACTCCACAAGGAAAAAGACCAAAGCACAATTCACTCACTAGCTGTGTATTAGTCTTACTTCATTAATCTGATATCAACATAAGAGAACTATGATTTGCTGACCTTGGTACACTGAGATAATGAAAGTTTTGGTTATGTAAACGTCCTCCTCCACATGATTAATATAAAAAGAATTAGCTGTAAGCACAAAACTCATGATCTGGTAAAAAAAAACAAACAAAACAAAAACATGATAGTAATTATAATAAGACAAGAAACAAGCCAAGGTATGCTATAACACACTGCAGTTCGCTCTACAGGACAGTGCATGCCAACACACACACACACACACACACACACACATACACACACACACACACACACATACACACACACACACACACACATACACACACACACACACACACATACACACACACACACACACACATACACACACACACACACACACATACACACACACACACACACACACACACACACACCTCTGGAGATTTTCAGAAAAGTTGCTGCAAAACGCAGAAAAGAAAAATAAAAAAAGTCAACCGTGTCCCGCTTCTGGATGCTGGAGAGAACAGCAGCTCCACTGTTGTGTAGTCAGGTGCTCATTCACACGAGCCAACTTTTTGCTTCATACATTAATCATCTCTCCACGACGTAAGCAGTGTGTTTATTAATAAAAGCCATGCCACTGGCTTGTGCGTGGAGCCTTGGACAACCCCCCAGGTCTCTGTGGACTCTGGAAAAGGTAGAAGGGGAGACAAACAATGCTGGACGGCCAAACCTCCAAGGCTCCCCAATGTTGCGGAAAGAATGCAACACCAGCAAAACAGAAGGCAGAAAAGCGAGATGTCAAGATGTTCCTGGTTTTCGTGCAGGAGGCAGAATGTGGTGTCAGTCACGGACAAGAGGCAGCGCAGCTCCGATGGGGCAACTGTGAGTCAGAAACATTTCAGAGCAGTGAATGACAGGAACAACTACCCTTTGTTATCACTTTGGTGGGGGGAGAAAGCAGCATGAAGGAGCTTGTTGGCTGTATGTGATGGTGGGTGGGGGGGCGGGGGGGTCAGAAGTTTTCTTAGTTCTTGTTTATGAAGTTTATGGTTTGGACTGGCCTGTTGAGCGGCACTGGACCTCAGCACAGAAGGCAGGGGGTGAAGAACCGCAACCAGATTTAGATTTTTCACCGAATCCGTGGACGTGTACGTACACAGAAAAACAGCTCCTTCTGGACCTGTCGGATAAACTATTTCTGCTTCATTGGTACGTCTCACTCACCAGTCAATTCTCTGACCACCTTCATGCAGCACTCTGACTCATATCAGACTCTGACGAGAGGTCAGAGCCACAGAAATGTGCTTGTGTGTTCAAAATCAGGAGCCACATTTCAATCCCGTCATGCCTGCTGAACAGGACTGCAGTGTTAGAGGTCATCTGATGCGCCCTGTGCTCATGACAACACCAGTTTCTGGTTCATGACCTTTGTCACACATTCTGTTCTCCTCCCCTTCTCTCTACAGTGTGATGCCTAATAATGCAGAGGAATGAAAGGTCAGAGGTCGGGGGCAGCTACAGAACAGCACCCACAGGACCGTCGGGTTCTGAGCTTTAGTGGGGAACATTTTCATTATCGCTTCATTATCGTTTGGTCTATAAGATGTCAGGAAACGGGGAGAAATGCTTTTCACAGTTTCCTGAAGTCGAACATAACGTCTTTGACTTGGGTATTTGTCCGACTAACCCTCCGAAACCCACAAGTATTCAATTTACAATCCCATAAGACAAAGAAAACCGATAAATCTTTACAGTTTAGAGGCTGGAACTGCGGGTGTGGGATATTTTTGCTAAAAAAAAAAAAATTATTAAATGATCAACCAGTTAAGAAAATCGTTTACAATTAATTTTCTGTCAATCACAGTACTAATTCAGAGTTGCGGTAAACACATAAAAATTCAAAGAAGACAAGATTCACCAGCTTCAAATTAAAAAGCGATCTCTACACAACCGCAGGAACTGTTCATATCTAGGTAAAGCAGGCCTCTCATATTAGTTTCTTACATTTATAAAATATGAGCTTTCAGATGCTGTTTACAAAAAGGGGAATTTTTGCATTTCCTGCCACTTTCTTGATTCTTGTGGCAGCTCATACACCCTTCTCCCTAGCCCTGTCCTCCAGCTCTTCCTGGGGAATCCCGAGGGATATGTCGTCCTTCAGGCGAGTTGTGGGTTTGCATTCAAATGACTTTAGATCCCTGAACCACCTCAACTGGCTCCTTTCAACGTAAAGAAAACACATTTCTGCAGCTTATTTATTTTTTATTACCCAAAGCTCATGTACTGTGTGTACTATTAGCCATATATGGATCAATATTTGTTTCATATTTAGTTATTAAGGAATTTTGAACTACAACAAAACCCGCCTCCCGACACCTACCTTTGCAGAGCGACACTCACGGAGAGATGACGCTCAGCTTTTTAGTATCAGTCTTCATTTGTCGCACATGTCTCCTCAGAGGAGTGAGACACATGTGGGATGCTGATGCCAGAGTCCAGGCCTCGCTCCAGCTCCAGCTCCATCTCCATCTCCAGCTCCATCCCTCCGCTGTCCCAGTACACTCCACCGGAGCTGGAGTCGTGATGGAGAGGATCGCAGGTGTAGGTGTTTTCCAAGGTTGAAGTCCGGTCCTGGTTGGAGACGTGACTGGAGGAGGACTCGATGGAGATGTGATCATCAGGGAGCTCCAAGTGGATGTCACACGGGTCGACTGGGAGCAGGGACAGAGGGACCAAAGAGACTGGATCATGAAGAGGCGCCTTAACGAAAGAAAGACAAGAATTCATCATCTGGAAACACCTGTTCTGGAAGAGGCAGAGTAGTATTAAGAGAAAGAATAAATCATACCGGAGTCTTGGGTTGACTTTCAGCGGTTGGTGCAGCTTGTCTTGGTTTTTTCAGAACCACGGTGAGAAGTGGGACGAGGAGCAGAGAAATCAGCACGGCTCCCACACTCAGCACAGGCAGCAGCCCTGTGCAAAGAAAGCACATACAGGTTTAACTAAAAAGGTACAAGCAACACAGCATACTGTCACAGCCGCGGTGAACAAGATGAATCAGCAGTGAGGCTGCAGAATGAGCCGAGCCAAGACGCCAGCAGGAGATGTCATTTGGACTCTGTTGCAAGACAGGGATTAGGTCTGGCACAGACAGAGACAGAGCAGTTTCCTGAGAGGCTGCCTGAGCTGGACCATGACCAGTTAACCCTATTTTGGTTTGTTTTGCCTTTTCATCTTATAACCCCTTGAAATAGGACATGTTATAAAAAGTCCAGACCCCCTAGATCATCAGTGACAGATCTGTTTATTGTCAAACTAAAGCTGGAGAAGAAGTAGTCAGTTTTTAGTACCACATATCTGGAATAACCTCAGAAAACCTGAGGTCTGCTTCACTCTTTTGTCCTGGTTTTATATAATTATATTCTAATTTCATTTAGCTTCTTTTAAATCCTGTTTATGTTTGTCTTTATCTTGTCTCAATGCCGTTTATGTCTGTAAAGCACTTTGAATTGCATTTTTGAAAGGTGCTCTGCAAATTAACTTGTAATAAAACGGTATATTTGTAAGTTTTCTCTGCCGCTGAACGTGGTTTCTTCTCGGGAGCGGGTGGTGCCGATTGTCACTTGACAAGAGCTTCAGCCATCTTTGTATTTACAAGACGAGAGGTTATAATACGTCCTCTGAACAGCGCTTCATCTTCAGGGCAGATTGGAGGTTACAGTGAGTCGCTGTCGGAAACGGACGAGATGCACGGGGGCTAGCTGGTTAGCATGCTAACTCCGGAAAAGATGCGATAGAGACAAGAGTTAACACTGGCGTTGCTCTCCACTGCGCTGGAGACAGCTGTTGGCGAGTAAAGTTTGATGCTGAACTCGCAACATTTCTTCTACACTAGTGAGTTTAATGCTAATGTTAGCTATGTAGCAATAGCAAAACTTACAAATAGCTTATATAAAATTAAGTCATGTCTACTTGCAACCCACTGGCACTTGTTGCAAATGTGAAAGGTGTCAGCAGTGATTTTTCCCCCTGACTCATCTTTAGTCTCCTTCACACCTGATTTTGAGACCATCTCGACACATTGAGGGGCAGACTTCGGCGAAGCGGCCATGGAGAAGGTGGGGAAGGAGAAGTTGGCCACAGCGCAGTAGTTGTGACCCGGAGACAAACCAGAGAACTCCACAAAGGAGACCACCTCCTGGGTCCAAACCGTACGGCTCTGCAACAACACAAAACACCGGTCTTTTCCAAACAAAGATGGAAACAATTCACTGACACCGAGCTGATTTAGAGAAGCGAGAAGCTCTGCCTGCAATTACATTTTATCGCCAGTGTCAGTTTTCTTTGGTATTTGCACCATCAGGAATTTTATACTCTCAAACAACAACCACAAAAAAAGTTACCAGGTAAAGACAAAGCATGCTAGACCTGATATTCTGAGTGATTGAGCTTGTTGTACACAGTCACTGTTGTCCAGGGGTCAATCAGTTCAGAGATGGCACAGCACCTCTCCGGAGAGCACCCCCTGTTGGCAGCACAGGGGAACTGCACCCTCACCAACAGCTGCTCATCCTTCAGAGAGACTGAGACGGACGGAGGGCTGAAAGCTGGGTGGGCAGAGGAGGAGAGAGGAGCTGTTAATTATTGGCGACGCCCACTCCAACATATTACTCATTAACGCAGGTCACGACACTTTCAAAAAGCAGCTGTTTCAAAGCATGTGCCCCAGAGAGTTACAGAAACTGGACATTGTTACTGACTGAGGTCACTGTAGTCGAACTTGCGTGGTTTCATCCAGACAGTGGAGCTGGGGCTGAGGTGGACGCCGAGACGAATCATGTTGTACAGCTCAAAGTCTGAGAAGGCCTGAGACACGTCACAGCTGCGGGACGAGACCCAAACACACCACGGCACGTCCTGCCAGGGGTCCCTGCAACGCAAGAACACACAGTCATTTTATTTAGTTTACCGTTTGCTTTATTGTTCTGCTTAAGATTTTACTTTCATGGAGAGATAACTGCTATAGAAAAGAATGAAGTGAATGCTTTGGTGATTTCTTTCAATTTCACTCAGCCTGGACAAATATACAGTTTATAATGCCCTTTCCATGTATGTAGAAATACTGTGTATATTATAGGCTCACAGAGATGTACAGACTGTAGAGCAGGGATGTGATGAATTTGGATTTTGGACTCACATTTTTATAGACTTGCTTTTAAGAATAACAGTTGTATTGCAGTATTATTGTTTGCATAACAGTACTCTGCCATCCATCTCTGCAGCATCTCATGTCATTGTTAGAAGATTATATATTTTAAACTTCACTTTTATAATTTTTTTATGTCAAATGAATATTCCTTCCTAAATGAAGATCACATTGTGCTTCTTGCACTTTAAAAATACACACAGGTACTTTATATTTGTAGTCTATAATTAGCAGCTGATCTACAGAGGCGCAGATATTGACTGAAGTTATTTTTAAATGTCCAGGATAACAGTGTAGATAAATGTCACTGATCATATAACAGGAAAATAATTTTATAGTATTTATTACACACACAAATAATCATGACAAACAAAATTTTAAATATTACCAAATACTATACACACCAAAATACATAGTAACTTTAAAGTTTATTTAGACAAAAATAGTAGCAATAAAAAACAAAATACAAAAACTGGTATATGAAATGTAACAGTATGACGTTACACCAATGTCTCGCTCTCTGTCACACGCACACGCGCGCACACACACACACACACACACACCACGACTTACCCCTGCGTCTTCGTCTGCACGGTGTAGGTGGTATTAGGACTGGCATAGGGACAATCCCACCGCAGGAGGCAGCCTAAATCCAGTGATTCCACTGCAGTGTAACAGACTAACCCAGTCGACCCTGGGAAGATCGCACGAAACCCGTACACCAAAATAGGACACTCACACAGATACTCATTGACCTGCTAAGTCTGACTGTCACAACTTTGTTAACGCTTGCGGGCAGGGAACCGTTGACTTAGTGCAAAACGCAGCAAGCGGCCACAGAAAAGTAAAAGACAATAACAACAACAGTAGCCGTTTCATTATCTGCAGTACTCACCAGTAATGAGCAGGACGACCGCGACACACAACCCAACCGGTGCTCTCAACAGACGCGTGGCTACACCCGATGTCTCCATGGCAACTTAGCTGCCCCTGTGGATCAAGTGGGCAAGACTCTGATGGTCTTAACTACAGCTCGCGCAGCACGGGGGGCTGACCCCCTTCCCTTTAAAGCCGGACAAACACACCTGTAAAAAGACACGCTGAGGCGCACATGCAATAAGCTGCAGGGGAGAATGATAGACTGGAGTCAGCAGGGAGGTGGAAGGGGAGGGGAGAGATAAGTATTTAATTGAAGGCTGGCGAATTTGTAAGAGAGAGGAAAGGCTGTAATCTATTTTAAGAGGGGGGCAGGAGAAAAATGGGAGACTGAGATAGTTATAGGAAGAAGATGAAGTTATTTAATGATTTTGAAAATGTATTTAAAAAGGGGTGTTTTGCTGCTCCTGCTACTGGGAACTTAAACCTTGATCACACAGGGAAAATACAGATCTGAGTGATGTTCAACCAAACACCGATTTTGGTTTGGATTTTTTTCTTCTTTCTTCTGGTGTGTGTGCATCTGTTTTGCCATGAACATCATTTCATTTCAGGTTATTTCAGTTAGGACCAACATGACTTTAAAAAAAAAAAAAAAAGAAACATATCAGTAGAAGATATCTGCATTCTCATCTTTTTATTCAATGCCATCTTTAAATAATAAGAATCTGTACATCTCTTAAGCAGGTCTTTGACCATTCATTCCCAAAAGTAATAATGATATCAATAGCTTCCTTATTAACAACAGTAATACAGGTGAAGTGCTTAACCAGGCAACCAGAGGGGCTGATAGAGATCATACAGCAACAAAAATAGTCATAAGAATGGTGTACAGCACACACTCTTTTACCCTTCCTCATACACATCCATCACACACGCACACACACACACACACACACACACACATATAACTCAGCAGTGCACTATACACCTCTTGATAATTAAAGACATGAAAGCAAAAACTGCCTGTTCATTCAGAAACAGCACCAAAACATCAAAAATCATTGCAACAGTAATACTAAGCTTAACATTCCTCATTCCTCATCATCATTATCATCATCATCATCATCATCAATATCATCATCAGTCATAAGAATCTTTACATCTGCAAATATACAGGATCTAACTGGCTGGGCCCCAAACTGGAGTGTTCAACATGCTGATCAGTTCTGGATGCTGCCGATCGTCTGTCAGATCTACGCAGGCACAGCTGACATCTCAAGTTGTGTCGCCCTCAGCCCAGCAGAGGGCGACACACAAAAGAAAGAAGAAGAAGAAAGAACACAAAAAAAATCCACCAGCAAAGATGCCACAGCTTTCATGGAGAAAGTCAACCAACCAACGTCTGGAGTGTGTTTTAGGAAACCAGCTCTCTGCACTAAAAAGTGAGTCTGGAAAATAAGCAGAGTATTGCTGTGTTAAAATCTGTGCAAACTTTAAGAAGACCCACTTAATTTCCAGGGAAGAGCTTTAGGTGCAGAGTTTCCACACGTGTCTTTGCTGCGAGTATTTGGTGTCGAGAAGTCTGGGTTTATGTCTGCGCCCCCGGAAGGGCCAGTCCCGGCTCCAGGCTGGTGGTGGTGGTCGTTGGGGTAGGGGAGGGCGGCAGACCCTTGGGTCCCGGACAGAGCAGCCCACGTGAGGCTGCGTGGTCCCCGTTCAGGTTCTTGTAGGGGTTTCTGCGTGGCGGAGCTCGGAGACAAATGGAGGGGAAGCGGAGACCGGCGAGGCAGCAGCCCGGGCAGGAGATCACCTCCTCCTGGTCCAGAGAGTGGCCGCTGCTGGAGCCAAAGGGGGACGAACCGGCGGGGTCGCTGGGAGGGGAGTGGTAGCCGTTGTTGTTGGTCGTGGTGGCGGCATTGGTGGTAGGGGTGCTCCATCCCAGCGGTCGGCTTACGACCACATTGTTGTTGTCCAAATGAGAGAGGGGAGGCAGGCACGGAGGCCCGTTTGAGATGGCGGACCCCCAGCCGTTAGAAAAGGGAGTGGGGGAGGGTTGGAGGGGAGTGGAGGATTTGGAGTAAGGAGATGAAGTGCTGTCTTGCGTGTCGGGAGAGCTTGTGCAATCCATGGGCTCCTCCTCCTCCTCCTCCTCTTCCTCCTCCCCCTCCTCCTCTTGGTCCAGTGACAGGGGCTCAAGGGACAGAGGAAGACCTGAGTCACCTGCCTGGTGCCTCCCGCTCCCCTCCCCGATGTCCTTCTCTTCTCCCAACAGTGTGTCTTCCTCGCTCTCGCCATTTGTCTCACCGTTTATCTCCGACGTCGACTCTTCCTCAGTGAGGACAGAGTTCGGCGCCGACGTGAGGTGAGGAGGGGGCGTGCAAGGCAGCGAGTGGCAGCGCCTGTGCCTCCTGGGCAGGTCGACGCCGTCGGCCTCAGACGCAGAGGAGTCGTCACAGTCTGGTGGCGGGGGCAGAGTGAAGGTCAGGGAGATGACCGACTTGCTGGGAGTGTCGAACAGCTTGATCTTGCCGCCTTTGAGGTCCTCCCTCTGAGAGAAGGGGTTGACCCGAGTGGGAGGTGCCAGGTTAACAGAGGGGGGGGTGTCCGGGGGGTGCAGCATGTCGGACTTGCTGCGGGAGAGGCGAGGGTCTGAAGGGAGGCAGAGGGATCGTCTTCGCAGGGGTCCAAGAGCTGGAGAAACAGCTTTAAGAGAATAAATCAACCAGGGTGAGAGGCGGTAACGTAAGGTAACGTAAAGTATTGGTCGACTCTCTACAGGTGACTCACCTTTGACCGCCGGCTCGTCCTTCTGTTTCCTCTCAGCTTGTCTCCTCTCCAGCTCTGCTACGATTTGGGAAAAGGATGGACGGAGCGTTGCATTCATCTGGCAGGAAAGAGAGATTCAACAGATTGAACAAGAGCTTGATGGACAGCGGAGGAAGTGCTCGGAAAAAAAACGATGCTTCCTGATCGATATCTTTAACTGCGGCACCTTTTTATTCCTGCGATCTGACCTTATCTACCTATAACAACAATGGCGTTCAGGCGTTTAAACAAAGGTTATTGCTCTCATCGTGACAGGACCATTTAAGGTGAAACATACAGAGCTCCAGCAATATTCCACATCTGGAACAAAAGAGGAAACACAAAAGCTGCTTTTCCTCCTCACAATAAACTTCATCATTTGATTCCCGTTTGCTCATTTGCTGTTTAGAAACCATTTTGTTGAACATACATGAATTAAAGTTGAACATTTCATGATGTCAAGTGTTGTTTTTCTGAGGGTGTTTCTCTCTTTATGCCTGCACACATAAAAACATTTTACACACTATTCAGAACCTAAAATCAGCTCGTTTGCTGCGTTTTCTGATTGATTACACTACTTTCATTTCCTTGTGCCAAAGAAGAGATAGTTAAGTCACAAATGTTTTATGACAAGCAGAACAAGGCGTGCATTAGACTTTATGCCGCTTTCCTGTTTACGGTAATGTACATTCAGGTCAGACTTTTGCGGAGAAGTGACTCAAGAGACCGACATACAGTACATACTGAAGTTCATGCCACATAAGGTGCTTTTAATCCCAAAGTTCTTCAGACTGTCATGTGACAACAGCAACGACAGGCGAAAGACGGGAGAAGAAAAGGAGGAAGAGCAGAATGAACTGAGAAGACAGGGAGGGAATGAATCATAAATCAGTGTTTCGTACATTACAGCAGGCGATGGCCAGGTCCAGGAAGTCTGGAGGACAGTCTCCCACCAACTGCTGAAAGGCCTCCACATCCAGACCAAAGTCCTGTAGAAAAACACAGACAAGAAATTTGGATCGGTTGTCTTTAATTGTACTACCAAAAAGCCACAGGAGGGAGAAATGAAAGAGTTTAACACTGATGCTGCATCTTAAATCTAGACTTCACACTATGTGTATACAGAACGCCATTTATTATTACATATGCCATGATTGCATTTAGTATACAACAGATTCATTTGTTGTTTGTGGCAGAAGGAAATGTCAAACTGCAAATTTGGAGTGTTGTTAGACAAGAACAAAAACCATTTTGCAATTTGTTTTGAATTTTTTGCAGCCGTGAGCAGTTCCCATATTACATCTGTGCATTGCAGTGTGGGACAATAAAAATCAGTTTCAAATATACTTCGCTCAACTTAAAATCTAGTCCAAATACTTATGTAATGCGGGATTCGGTGAATAATCATGGTCTAATATCGAAGAGCATAACTGAGAGACTCATTTCGAGTCCATCAGCAGTAACAGTTTTGAGACATGCACTCTTCTGTCAAGATATGAAAGTCAACTTCCTGTTTGTCCAAGATGACAATCAGCAGTAGAAATAAGATATCTATCATTTGACATATTTTTCAAAATCATATCTGACATGTTGCAACTGTTGCTTAAAGTTGCAAGTCATTTTGACACACTCCTTTCACAACAGTCATGAGGAGGAAGCACTTTTGAAACACAAGGAAACTTAATACAGTAATTATCCAAGAAGAAGAATTTTTCCACACACACACACACACTTGTGTAATGAGTAGCACAATGAAGTGAGTCGTGCATGAGATGATGAGTACGTGATGATAAAGGAGAGGGGGAATCGTTAAGGCAGTGTGATGAAAACGTTGTCAGGTTGTACCTCAGTGCGCGGCAGGATGTCAGGGTCGGCTTGTATCCTCGCAATGATCTCACACAGGATGATGCCGTACGCAAACACATCCACCTGCAGAGAGGAAGACGAGTCGATGAACAGGTATTATATTCTTACTTTTTTACTGCTCTGGTGACTTGATTAACTTTCATTTAACCAAACTTCATGAAATCATTGTTAATGTTTTAATGTACTGCTTCGACAAAACACTCAAATATTCTGGTGAACAGATCAAAAAACTAAAATTGGAATTATTAGTTAATTTTTGTTTTCAAGTGAGTCAAGTTTGTCTTTAAAAAAAAAAAGTCTTTAATTTCTCTCAGGTTACAATTAAATATGTTTAACTTAACTACACATTTTTATTGCAGCTCTGAAAACCTGGTTATGCAAGTTATGTGGATTTGTAATTTTTTTTTATTTTTTTATTTTTTTAGACTTTTTCCAATATAATCTAAATATAGCCACTGCATCCTGGATGTGGCTTATACTTATTTGTAGTTCCATGAAGCCCAGACAGGCTGCGTAACACTAAAAACATTATAATCAGCACTTAAATGCAACCCTAACAGGCAATCAAGATTTCCATGAAGCAGTACAGAAAACACTGGTGACCCAGGCCAATACACGCGCCTCTTACATAACTGGATTCCTGTTTGCCTTCAACATAATAACTGATTTATTAAATATTTATTGCTTTATTTCACTGTCTGGTTCCTGGCTTTATTTGAGCAGCTTTCATCACGCCCACTGTGGACCTTGAACTCTTGCAACAGTCTGCAGCTGGAGGGAAAATGAAGGAAGGAATCCGTCAGTACCTTCTCATTATACACCTCTCCTCGGAGCACCTCCGGGGCCATCCAGTAGGGGGAGCCGACGACAGCAAGAGGCTCCTGGTCTTCCTCCTCACTGCAGGGAAGAGAAGAGGAAGGGATGGATGGATGGATAGAGGAGAGAAACAAGAGGGTTAGCGTGATGTTAAACCAGCATTATTAGCTTTAAAAAGGTTCTTGCTTTATTCAGTTTTGTGGATCCTTCCTCACAATAATAAATATCACAGATCAGGACAACAGTCATGTTTCTTAAAGCACATATGAATCAGTTAAAAATGAGCGAATGAACAATAATTCTTCACAAAAACAGACCGACGTTTTTATTGTTTTTACTGAGGTTGGTCCAAAACCACCTGAAATAAAAGGATTGACTGCAACACCAAATGACGTCTAATAAAATGGCTGTATCTTCTTAATTTTAAATATTTTCATCTTTTTATATGATATTAAAATCAAAGATATTTTGCTTTTGAACAGTTGAAGATCTTTGTGCCTTCAGAACTTATAATGGCCATTTTCACAGTTTTGACATTTTGACTCAACAATCACCAATTAACTTAAAAAAATAAAAATAAAAATACTGGACAAATTGTTGAAAATTGTTTCTTTAAGGGCATAAAATGCTTTGAATTAAATCATCTTCAAAAAGGAATGAATAGACAAAACTGTTTGCTTAGATAAGTCTGATCCCGACCGACAGAAAAAAATGTCTTGTGCATTTTTTAAATTCTAAATGTTTGTCGCATCCATATAAATACTTGAAAATTTTGAGTTTGTCCGACAAATTCTCTTAACGTCCATCTGGTGAAACAGTTTCTAGTTACAACTGAAACCATATTCCTGTGGGATCAGATTTCAGTGGTGAGGATTTGCTTCTTCTACTGGTCGGACAAAGCGAGGCAATTTGAAGACGTCATCTTTGATTTCCAGAACTTGTGATGGGCATTTATCATTTTCTGACATTTTCTTGGACCAAAACGATTATAAAAATGAGGAGAAAATAAAATCAGTCAAACAATCAATGATGAAAATGTAGTAAAAAGGGGTTGATGAGGATGACTACATGACTTCACCCGATAGTGATGCATGAGAAACAACAAAAAATATTTTCCGATATTCTTCATTCAGGATTTCTGAAGATGACAACAGATTAACAAGTCAGACAGGAACAGTTGTGCAAGCAGGCATCATGCTCCATTTCATTAACGCAGAACCCAATCAAGAGGGTTTTATGGGATGAAACTTGGCTCTGTGCAAGTGTGTGTGTAGTTCCTTTGTATCTAAGAAACCACAATGTTTTCAGTTATACAGAGATATTGTTGTGAAATTTAAGCAGAATAAAAAGGAAGGAACACAAGAATGTGCAAGGACAACGTGCTTGCACACATGCCTGCACACACACGCGCGCGCACGCACACACACACACACACCCTGCTGGCAGATACTTCCTCTCTGTGCTATTTCCATCTGCTACTGTGAGCTATGATACTGCAGAAAATACAAGCGGGGAAGTGATGGCAGAGACGGTCATGGCTCCCAACGTAAACAACATTTGGAGAAGTGGACCCAACAGAATCAAGAGTAGAGAAAGCAGCAGAGAGAAAAACAGCTACAGAAAACTTAGAAATTAACACAAAATAATTATGGAACGACTCAAAAAGGAACTACAGGAGCGTAAAGGACACGAGAGTGACTTCTTATACGAGGGCCAGGAGAGATCCAGTAAGGCAGAGCACAAAAATAGGAGGACTGGAATAGTTTGACCTTATTTGGAGTGCTTTTCCTAAACCCCCTTCATCTCCTCTCCTTCCCTCCTTCCCTCTTTCCTTCCATGCCACAAGCACAGTGGTAGCACTCCAACACAAACACATTGAAGAAGGGTTGTCAACATCATCCATTCTCTGCTAGCGCCCTGCTACAGGATACAACAGTATTTGACTAAAATAAAAAGCAAACATGCCCTTGAAAAATGACGGAGCCGCAATTCACCAGCTGCTTTGGAAAGAGACACCGGAGCAAACAGAGGCCTCATGTTTGATAGGTGCAGGAATGCAACAATGACACACACACACACACACACACAGTCAGGTGGAAGCCTCTGCCTCACATGTGAAAAATAAAAAGCTTAGTTAGCTTTGTTGCTTTGTTTGTATCTTGATGCACATTTGACCCCTCACAGGACGGTCCTGGAGGATGTTTTTGGTTTGTTTTTTTTTTGTTTTTAAAGCAGAAATTTATCAGAACAAAGTTTAGTCGAAAGCATGAGAACCACAGAGGTTACAGCCTTTCCCCCCCCCCCCCCATGCCCCCCCGACAATGACGCACACTTGTGTAAACACAAAAGGTGGCCGGGCACAAACAAACAGAACCAGTGGAAACAGAACACACAGTCACAACACACACACACACACACACACACACAGAAAAGGGGGAGGCCAGGTTACAGTGGCAGCTGTCTCGTCTCAGCAAGAAGTCGTGTGTTTGCTAAACGACTGCAGACACGTCGGGGAGGGGAGGACGAGGAGCTAATGGCACACGAGTGTGTGTCAGCTGTGTGTGTGTGTGTGTGTGTGTGTGTGTGTGTGTGTGTGTGTGGGGGCAGGAGTCTTGAGACACTGGCTGCTGTGTTTCTTTAAGGTCACCCTCGACATCCCAACTATTCAGCGGCTGCTCTACATCATTATCAACCGATTGCTGATTTGTTTATGGAGAAATAATAATCATAAAGACAACAAATCGTTTCATTTCAGTCTTGGACTTTTATGGATGTCGAGGAGAAGTGGGGTCAAGTTGTAGCGTGACACTCTGGGTACAAAAGATAAACAAAACTACATTTGTGTAAGTTATACACTTAATTACAGTTCATCTGATCTACTCGTACTTTCCTAGAATATTTCCATTTTGGGGCTAGTTATGCTTTTTGGCAAATATACTTATTTACAGTTTCTCCAAGAGTTGCATAAGAAGATTGATAACACTCATTTGAGAGTGTTCTGCATGAAGCTAGAGCTGTGATTAGCCTAGCTTAGCATAAAGGCTGGAAGCAGATACAGTAAAGTTCATGAACCCTTTGGAAAGACCTGCATTGATTTGTCATAAAATCTGATCTTCATCACAGTCACAAGCTTGGACAAACACAATGTCCCCAAGATAATGTCACACAAGCAATTATAACCTTTCGTGTCTTTATTAAAACACAGCCATTAAATATTCACAGTGCTGCCGGAGAAAGTAGATTTAATAACTGGCCGAACCTCCTTTGGCAGCAATGACGTCAAACAAGCTCTTCCAGTAGCTGCTGGAGGAATTTTGGACCATTCAGCTCAGACATACTCTGAGCGCTTCCTCCTCGGGTCATTCTGCAGCATCTCTGCTGGATTAAGATCTGGGCTCCGACTCCAGAACGTGGATTTTCTGTGTTTGAAGTCATTCTGTGGTGGATTTACTTTGATGTTTGGGGTCCTTGTCCTCGCTGCAATCACCCAGCTTCTCCTGAGCTTCAGCAGGTGGACAGACACCCAGACATTATCCAGTAAGACACCTTCATAAACTTGGGAATTCATTTTCCTCTCCATGATGTTGACCTTAAACCAGAAAATATCCATGCTCCTCTGCAGGCTCAATACATGATTTTTTTCCCCCCACTGACACCATGAGACACAAAGTCTTTTCAGATTTTTTAAAAAGCATCGTTAACTGCTTTACTGCTGACACGTTTGCACAAGTTAAATGTTGAAATCTGAACTTTTTCCTTCATTGTAATGGAATATTTCCCCACTGTGGTATTACTACTCTTAGTTAAGGCAAGAATCTGACCATCTGACACCATGAGAGACATGATGTCACTGGAAAACCAGCTGTAGAAAATAAAAAACACACATCAGAGGAGGGCTGTAACTCCGCTGGTCGATCAGTCAGCACGGGCCAGCGGTGAATTGATGGCCGGGAATAAAACAAGCCACATAAATGTCAGTGCATATTAAACACACAGCTGCAAACACAGAGGAAGAGGCAGAGAGACCGTGGTGCGTCACAGCCAGTCAGATTAAATATTAACACCACCTCTGTGAGTCAAGCTGCTGTCTGTCCTACCACCTCCCCCTTGAAACAACGCTCGACAATATTAATAATAATAGTTCCACGGAGAGCGAGCGGTGTTTGGAGAGGGGGATTAACCGCAACATGTGCCTGCACACTCTGGAAAAAACCTGACTGTGCGTTGGATGTGAGTAACGGGTCTGTGTGATTGTGTCTCATCGGAGAAAAGAGAAGCTGAGGGAGGCATTTTCTAAAACACTTTGCACTGAGAGATATGGCCTGACAGATAAATAAGACAAAAGGGAGAAGTGGAGGAATGCCATTTATTGAGCGCGACTTATCTAATCACGGGGCGTCGATAGAAGTTTTGATGAATGGACTCACCTGTAATCTGGGATTTTCTCCGCCAGGCCAAAGTCTCCCACCACAGCCGAGCACACGCTGCCCTCCCAGCGCACCAGGCAGTTCTGCACACGGGGTCAGAGGTCACACACACACACACATCACTTAAATCAGCGAGAATTTCAACAGAGATCGGAGATTTTATTGTGCAGAGCTTTTCATTTGCGATGAATCATTTCTAGGAGGCCATCTTTAAGTCTTCAGCTGTGGAGCGACAGCAGCCAAGAAACTGCTGATGTTTAATTTGCCTATCCATCAGAAATGAACAGAAATGGTTGATTTCTGTGTTTTTGCACAATGTCAGTGTCTTAGCAGCTAAATTACCGCAATCTCCACTCAAATCTGATCTGTAGTATTTTCCAGCATGTCAACATTTCCTTTGTGGACTTGTTACAGCTCGAAGGCATCTACATTTTTTTTGGGTTTTTATTTTGAGTTTGTTTTTCTATTGCTGCTCCCTGTTATGTGGACAGATTGATGTTGGAGGCTTGTGCCAAAACGCTGGTTTGTACAAGGCTAGATTACCAACAGGGCAAAGCTGCAACTGTCCAGGATCCCCAGAGACTTCAGGGGCCCTTAAAACTCCAGGTTCAATATCAGGCAAGTAGTTTTATATTTTTAATGTTTGGTAAAACTGTATGCGCTATGCTAGATCACAGTATAAACTGGAAAGATAAGGGGCCTTAGGGCAAAACCTGCATCGTGTCAGTTTGTGTTCCAGCATGAATATGTGAGGTGACTGTAGTTTACTGTGCATCAGTGCATGTAATACAAATGTATTGCTACCTTAGGAGCAGACTCCCAGCAGAGCATCAGTCTGCACTGATGTGTGTGTACTGTACGTGGGCACTGATGCGTGTGTGTTTGTCGTCACCTTGGAGGTGAGGTCCCTGTGGAAGATGCCCTTGCTGTGCAGGTACTGCAGTCCCCGGGCGATGTCCAGAGCGAGGCTGAGGCGCACGCTCCACGACAGGTACACGTCACTGCCCAACAGCTGCTCCAAGTTACCACCGTTGATGTACTGGATCATCAGGATAAACAGCAACACAAGAGCTTCATTAGTAATGTACAGTGTGTGTGTGTGTGTGTGTGTAGATTAATGATTTAAGCCTTCTGACAAGTAAAAAAGCCAAACATCTAGAGGTTTCAGCTTCTCACATGTGAGGATTTGAGGCTTTTCTCCATTTTATATCATTTTAAATTGAATATTTTGGGGGTTTTGGACAATAAGTCAAACAAAACAAGCCACTTGTTTGTGGCATTTTGCTTATTTTTTTGGACAGTGACAGTACAGATAGAAACAGGTAAAATGGGAAAAGAAGGAGGGGATGTCGTGGGTGGTATCATGTGCATCTTAACCAGAAGGCTACCAGGACCCCCTCCCCCCTTTTCCCCCTGACATTTCATAGACTAAACTGACTAAAGTTTAAGTGTGATCCAGAGTCCATCAACTAAACTTCTCAATAAACCTCATTATTTTAATTCAATGACAACAACAAAAAAAATATCACATTTTTAAAAATCACCTCGTCTGAAACCTGCTGAGCTGCTGGATCATCACAACATGAGGAAAAGCTTTAGAAATACAAATGCTGCCAGTGCAGGCGTCAGAACACCAAATCCCCCACTCATCCCCTGATCCATTTCCTTTTCACTGATGTCCTGCTCAGTTGCCTAGGCAACGTCAGGTAAACCCATCACATGTAAGAAACAGGTGAAATGTCATGAACTGCCTGACCCCAGTCAGCTGGGGCCTCATTGTTCAGGCAGTCAAAGAACAGATGCTCGTACAGTGCATTAGATAACAGGAAGTTCATGTTTTAAACTTTAATGAACGACACCGCTAGCATTTAATTTTAAAAAAATATGTAGACTTTGTAGTTATTTTAGGTTTACAGCAGAGAAATAGAAGCAACATTCAACAAGCAGAGAGATCTGAATAGAGACGGAGTACGAAAATAATTCATAAGAACAAGATTTTACATTAACTGCAGCTGGCGTTTCAAGTGGAAAGATGTCATAACACTGCATAATTAACCATCTTACATAGAACTATCCATCTATCTAATTGCAATTAGATATTGTATCTAAATGAATCCGCCCGAGGTCAGGATTTGTTATCAGAGAATAAAGTGAATCTGATTCTTAAAAATACCAAATATACTGATCAACGTCTTACCTCTGTGAGAGCGTGAAGCTGCCCTTCATGGACACACACTCCTATGAACCTGAGTATGTTAGGGTGGGACAGTCTGTTCATGAGCTGGACCTCCCTGAGCATGTTGGCTCTGTTGCTGGCCAGGATGTTCATCTTCAGGGCCATCACCTGACCTGACACACGATGTTGCACCTGAATCACACAACAACAACAACAACAATAAATGCTCCTTTTTCATCAACAGAAATGATACAGTGAAAAGATTTCAAAACTGACAGTTCAACATTGTTTGTGTAGAAATCAGAAAACTGGGGAAATGATGCAATTTAGCGGCAGAAAATATACTTTTTAAAAAACAAAATCTGGCTCAACAGACTCTCTGGAACAATTAATGCTTGTTCCACTTTTCGCAGCAACATGACAGTAGATGGAAAACATTATTCAAAGCACCTCACAGTACACATGAGCACATAAAACTGGACAGGACAGGCCTGCAGCACAGTATTTATGATGATAATATATTATCCATAGATAAAATCACATGGGTTAACACTATCTGAAGTAATAAAATGAAACTCCCACATAGTGCTGACTAATATTAGCGCCAAGGTGCTTTTGGAAACTGGCCATTTAACATTAGGGGGTCAGATGAGTTTCTTCATATGTTTTGGCTGCTTCTCTGTGGCGACCTGCTGCCACGGCAGCGTCTGTGTCTGGTATGGTAACCATGGAGACACGACATGCTTCCCCTCAGGCTACATGTTTGTGCATATTTGCTTGGCAAGACGTCTAAAGAGGCGCAAGCACACAAGCAGCAGACGAGTCTGCAGAGAGAGAAAGTCAGAGGTGTTTAAGTCTGCTGGGCGGGGTGTGTGTGTGTGTGTGTGTGTGTGTGTGTGTGTGTTATGTTTATGTGTTTGTGAGTGTGTGAGAAATCGCAGTACTATGAGTGTAACTGCCAGTGTTAAGATATTGAAGAAGTGAGTGTGAAGAAGTGAGTGTGAAGGCGAGTGTTGGTATTGAATAGAAAGAACTGCTGTTAAATTTTCTTATAATTCTCTTGACAAATTTGTATAAATTATATCACTTTCTGCCATTCAATATGTTTTAGAGCTTAAAGTATATTTACATATTTGATCCAAGACTTGACTAACGACCCTGAATAGAATCGAAAAACATCTTTAACTTATACGCCAACACGCCAATGATGTCACATTATGGCATTAGAAAAAAGGAAAAGTTCACCACAGTCGTTATGGTTCATCCTCTGGGGACCATGAACGTCCAACAGTTGTTGAGATATTTCAGTCCGGACCAAAGTCGAAGACTCACATTACAACCTCTATAGTAAAATAACAATAATAAAACAAAGATCTAGTGTTTGGTCCTAATCAAAATCTTGCTTGCTCTTTTATTTTAGGCAACAGTTAACAGCTGTAGAAAAACATGTTTCTCAAATCAAGGTACTGAAAAAAGTACAATTATGATATTACTGCCAAACTACATCATCATATAAACACTATTTAATTATTGAAAAATTTATAACAATACCTAGCCCTACTGAAAAGACCTGTCAATCACTGAGTAACTGCTACTAATTTGTGTTTTTAATTTTGGTTGTGAAGTGACACTTGTTTGCATTTTGGATCAGGAATCAGACTTTTACTGCCTGACTGCAAACCAAATTTCCTTTGAGCTATTAATAAAGTAGAACTGGCAGTTAAGGGTTTCAGGTTGTGTCTTCATTAGTGACATGAGAGTGTAATGAAAGACATAGCGGTGGTGGGGGTGGGGGGTAGGGGTGGGGGGGGCAAGTAGCCAAAGTCTGAAGTCACAGCCGTTGAGCTGAAGTCAGTGTGACACTGACCTGGATCTCAGCTGGGCTCTGGGTCGAGTGGTGATGGGGAAAAAAATAAAAATCCACAAAGCCTATTAGAGACCAGACTAGAGTGCAGTGAGTAATGCTATTCTCACACACACACACACACACACACACACACACACAGGATGAAGGCAGCCCTCTTCATCGTAACAGCCAGTCAATGAGAGTCACTCTGCTGCACTAAATCCTTTCTTTCCACAAAGCCACTTGAGGACTTCAGCCTTTGGCAAAGTGCTGCAACACATGCATGGATGCACACATGTAAATCGCACAGACAATTGCTTACAGTCGTTGCTTCCTCTTGCAGAGCGGGAAAGTCCGAGCACACATTTAAACAGGCAGCAGGAGTTTGGAGGGAGTGCAGGACTAATCTCTGCCTCTCTTTATATATTTACAGCACTTAGAGGATGAGGCAGACTCATGTAGCTGGTAGACGGAGCTCTGTAGCCGATTAAGAGGTTTCTTTATACACACAACACACAACACACAACACACACACACACACACACACACACACAGCCTCCTCCTGAGTAGCACAGATTTATCAGGCAAACAGGACCTTGGGCCATGCATGGCTCTGGATTTACATCACACTTGTCCGCCTTTTCTCTGCACACGTCTGCCTTCTCACTTATTTGAAGACAGCATTACATGCTCATCTCCCAACCACACACAAACAGACACACACACACACACACACACACACACAGGCAGGACACAGTGCAAACGTGAGCCAACTGCTGATGATGCAGCAGTGGTTAGAATTGCAACGCTGCTTGACCCGACTGTTTTGTCCCGACAGTTTTTAGCTTCTAAACAAACAACCTCTCACCCGTCATCATTACAGGGCGAGTCCGTCTGACTCAACACAGGGTTCAAGTGCAACTTTGGCAACATTTTCTCAGGTGTGTGTGTGTGCACACGTGTGTTTGTGGTGTGTTTTTTTTTGCCATCTGAGAAGCTTACCTCTGCAACATCACCACAAGAAGGATATAGTGTTTCTTTCTTTTGTTTTTATTTTATTTTATACATGCTCCATGCCAACCACTTAACCGGTCATCTCCACAGACTTGCCACTGGAATGCCAATGTCCACGCCTAAGTAAAAGATTACCCCACAACATGGAGCAACACACACACACACACACGCACACACGCACACACACACACACCTACTACAGGCTACTGCTCACATGCACGCGCTCAGACACTCCCTAAATCTCTCCTTCAAAAAACACGCTCAGCCTTATAAAGTACTGCTGTCAGCAGAGGAAAGGTCACGGGCATCGCTCTCCCTCTCGCTCTGTGCAGCCAACGTGTGCAGTGATGTCTGTCATTAGCCGGCGGCCCGAGGAGGCAGACTGATGCACAGCCACAAACTGCAGATGGAGGACGCACACAAGGGCAAGAGAGACGTGTCATACATTTAATATATATGGGATTTTAATGCAGTTTAGGCGTCTTTAGACAAAACATATGAAGACTGTTTCAGCTGCAGGAACATTTGTTTCAGTCTCACAAAAGACCAGATCATCCGTTTAAGGATGAAATGGACTGAAACCATTGAGTTATAATGTTTTATCATTGCTTGTGTGTGCAGGGTTGTGGCTGGGATTTTACAAAAATGAGGTCAAACCCAAAGTCCAGGGTTGTTGTTTTTATATTCTATAATAATTTAGCTGCTAAAATAAGTTTCAAGTAAATTCTCTCTCTCAAAATAATTCCCTGAATGCTGTTTCAAAGCCTTTCTGACAATGCCAGGAATATACTTTCAGTAGACAAACACCAAAATTTACTAAATTTTGATTTTATTTGTGTGTATTTGTTGCCTAAAATGAGTCAAACTGAAAGTTTTCTACTCTAAAAACACATTTGAACCCGGCATAAAAATAGAATAAACATCCTTCACGGGACAGTAAAATGCCAAAAACCTCTTCAAAACAATATTGAGGACATGACCTCGGTGTCCTCACTGGTGGCCACAGCCCTGTCTGGGCAGATGTTCAGTCCATGTGACACGGCCAGAAGTATGTGGACAAATACTTTTCAGGTGTCCACATACTTTCACCATGTAGAGTTAAAAAGAGAAAACTCTCTGCAGAACAAATTATATGCTGCAGCAGTGGAGTGCAGCTGAGTGTGACCACACATCCTCTCTCTCTCTCACACACACACACACACGCACGCAGACACACACACACACACACACACGACTGCCTCAGGACACTGGGTCAACTCTAAAGGCCTCCTTTTCTCTCGTGGATTACTTCACAACTTCCCACCAGCAGGGGCCATTGTTATCATTTCAGCAGCTGAACGTACACTTTCACAACATCTAAATCAACTTTTAAATAAACCACACTGGGGTTTCTAAATAAACAGCGGGGGTCTTCAGTGGAAATGCATCAAGACTGCTTTGAAATCTGTTTCTTGTGGACATAACTCTCTGCAGAGCAAAGACAATGAGATCTAAACGTTTAGCCAACAGTCAGGTTGTTGTGGGTTTTACATGAGAAAGTATCCGACAGCCAGACATAAAGACAGGATCTACTCCTCAAAGTATCATCATCGTTCAACAACTTTTACAGCGTTTTTAAAAACCAGACTGGAGCATCATTTGCTTTGGAAGACGCATTTCGAGGCATCACTTTAAGACAAAAACAGGAAAGCTTCTACCAATTTCACACATGAGCTTTATGCTGAGGTGTGAAGTCACTGTGAATAAAGTCCTTGAGGGGGTGAACTCCACCACTGTGTGTGTGTGTGTGTGTGTGTGTGTGTGTGTGTTCGTGTGTCAGAGAATTGAGAAAATTACTTCTCCTACAAAACAACTCAGAGCTTAAGCCACCGCCTGAGGCTCAGCTCTCAGTTATAGCGTGAAGAAGCACAAGCAGTGTGTGAGGGCGTCAGAGTGAGAGCGCAGGCGACTGAGACGAGGCACCGAGCCAAGCCGGGTCCATCAGTGAGTGAGCAGGGAGGTCCCCCTCTGTGAAACACAACCTGATCGGGGAGGGGGGGGGGTGAACAGCGAACAGTCCAGGTCTAATGCTGAACTGACCCCCCCCCTTTACACAGGCCTAAACATGAGGGGGGGATGGGGGTCATTCAAGTTCATACATGTCACTGGCCAGTTGCTGACCAATATCTCAGGTTATGTTTTTAAAATGGTAAAACAAACAAATAAATAAAAAGTGTGTCTTCAGTGGAAAGTAGTTCCTATAGAAACTGTCCCCAGTGTGCTCTGTGGATTACGCAGAGTGATGACGACACGCTTCATGGAAAGAGACGTTGCTGTTGATCCTTTAAAAAAA